CACACACACACACACACACACACACACACACACACACACACACACACACACACACAATTTGCCCACCTTGATCACCCGAAAGCCCAGGTAGCGCTTGTTGAGCATGATGACTTTGTACTCGTCGCTGGCGTCGTCCATCACGTGGCGCAGGGCCAGCAGGGCGGGGGTGTTGCTGAGGATGGCGCTGCGCCACGCAGGGTCCCCCTCGTGGGAGATCACCATCTTCTCCTCGTTCGACCGGATCGCGTCGTACAGCACAGCCGGGTCGTCGTACTCATCCGGAGAGGTGAAGTGGTCCTTGAAAGGGGAAGAGGAGGCCGTGAGGGGGAGGGGTGGGACAGAAGGACCTGTCCCCCCTCTTTGGGAAGGCCCAAGGAAAAGCTCTCTTCCCCCCACAACCGTCCCTCCTTGGGCATTTCCCCTGCAAGGCAGCACGGGGACTCCCAAGGACGGCTGTTACGGCGCCAACCACCGGCCTGCCCTGTTCCACAAAGAGCCCCACATCGGCCCCCCAGCTGCCGTTTTATTGTTTTAAATACTCTTTCTTCTTTTGCAGTGCCCTGAACGCTATTCTCTTACCTACCTGTAACGTATCAATTGTATGGATCGATTCTACAAGGGAAGCCCCAGCCATGAATTTGCAAGAGCTGAGCGGGGCTGCCAAGGGCAGGCACAGAACCACAGAGCTGGAAGGGGCCGGAGGGCCATCGGGTCGCCCCCTGCTCAGTGCAGAACTCCCAGCTAAACCGTGCCCATTCACAGGGTCGCCACAAGTCAGAGACGACTCGACAGCCCGGAACAAAGTGCCTTGGGTATTTTTAACTGCTACAGGGCCTTCCAGTTTTTTCAACTCTTTGCAATGCACCTAGAGAAGGTTAGGTTTCAGGAATTTTAGAAATACAGTTTTCCCGAACAAGCATGAGCACGAAGCATCCGTCTGCTCATCCGTCGCACGTGGGCCTCTGTTGGTGGAGGCAGGTGGATGGACCTCCCTGCCCGAGAGCCACCAACCACCTCCGGCTCCGAACTGGTCCAACCCGCTTGGAAAGCCACCCAAACTAGCAGCCCTTGCAGTATCGTTTGGGAACGAATCACCTCAAAGCTGCGTTCTGTAGGTAAGGGCTGCTTTTGCTGGAAGAACAAAACCGCTCGCTTTCGGAAGCATCGCCACCCCAACTTCTCCCTCTCTCGATTAACATCCGCACACCCCCCGAAAAACTCTGCAAAAGTGGCTGGTGGGAATTTTTTAAAATCGCTGGGAAGAGGCATTGCCTTTTGTGCTCAGTCTAGGGGCAGGAACTGATGAACTGTTCTCTCAGGCAGCTTTGGAAGCCCACGGAGAATCCCCCCACCGTCCAGGGAGCCAAACGGCCACGGAAAAGAGGAGCTTGAGCTTTCCTGCACTTGTCAATGCTCCACACCCCCAGCGCCTCACTGTACCCCATGAAGTAGAGATCAGCTTTGTGTGGCTTCCTACACATGCTTGAGCTGGAAGCGCGGTGCCTTGGCCAGACAGAGCCCTGAAGCCTCTCCTCTCTGCCCAGGCCGCACTGCATCACAGCAGCGGGAGGAAGACGCACCTGATGCAGCTTGAGGGACATGCGCACTCCGGGGGCCACCACCTGATGGAGCAGGTCCATGTCTGCAAAGACCCACTCGTCGCGGGGCGAAGTGATCCGGAAGTCCCCCTTGAAAAGGGCATGCAGGCCGTAAAGGAAGGGTTCGAGGCTGCAGAGAGAGAGAGAGAGAGCGAGACTGTTCCACTCACAGAGACACGTTATTTCGCAGGTGCCACTGACGCCGGGGGGAGGAAGGCCGGGATGGGTGGGACTCGAACAGAAGTTGTTAAAGAGGCGGGTGGCATCCGAACATCTGGGTGCTCTCCAGATGTGCTGGATTTCAGGGTGGAGGTTCTCCAAGTTCCACCTCAAACCTTGGGCCGATTTGCAGCTGGATCAAGAGGAGGCAGATTATGGAAGCTGCTTGGCCTCCTCGCATTAGAAAGGAGTGATCTAAATAAAATGCAGTATCAGAGTGCGAGCCTTTCTCTCCTTTTCACATGCAGTTTACAAAGCGCTTGGCTGCATAACTGTAAATACACCCAAAAGTATGCAGGAGGTGATGCATGCTTTTCAGGAAGGATGTACAGCAAGTCTGAGAGCCTAGGACGATTTTTCATGCAGGCTCAGCTGGACTACAACTCCCATGCCTCCCACTGGAGTGTCCTCCTCTGGAGAAGGCTGATTCAAAACAAAACAGGCCTGAAACAGCCACTGACAATCTTACGAATCACGGATAACTTCTGTTTCAGTGCTACTTTCCCAGTCCCGTGCTAAACCACCCCCGGCCCCAATTAATGTTGGAAGAAATCGCAGTCGTTACAACACGAGTCATGGCGAGGAACCAGGCCACGGCTGGCCTCTGCTTTACCTTTAACTTGCACGCGCTTGAACATTCCTAGCCCGCCCCTTTAAAGACGGATCAGTGCTAGCACCGCATCCAGCGGAGGGCCCCTGGACAGACAGACAACCGAAGGACAGAGGCGTACCTGGGGCTGATCTCACCTGGCAGACATGCTGTGGGAGGCCGTGCCCAGGGCCCGGCGGCCCAGGATGCAAAGCCCGAAGCACAAGGTGACCAGAGGGGAGTTCCACTCCCGGTCCACCGGCTGCAGGGGCGGGGGGCGGGGGAGAGGGAGAGAGAGAAACAGACAAGAGGTGTGAGCGCGTGTGTCCAGGTCGCACGTGTTCAAGAGGCCTTCGTGGGGTCTCACGAAACCCCCCATACCCAGCGCGGCACGAGAAGCAAGACTCAAGGCCGGCCCTGCACGACGCTTGCCCGAGTATCGGCAGGTTCCCCAGGCAGCTTTGGGCGGCTTGCAAGCCCCCCTTGGCAAGAGCAAGGGGCTGTCGGCTAAGACGGCCTCCCCGGCCTCTCAGGCAGCCGTCCGGGGAAAGGTGAACAGCCCGGCTGGGTTGCAACAAGGGCTCCCCTTTCCGCGATTCCGTGCATGGAGCAGCTGTCCATCCAGCCACCCCTGTGAAACCCAGGAGCACCAAGCCCATGTTCCCTAGCAGCAGCTATCGGATGCACTACTTCTTGCAGTAGCAGATTTCTAAGTTTAAGGATGCAATGCGTGAAAAATTGCTTCCTTTTTTCTGCCCCGAATCTGCCACCCATCAGCACCACGAGATGATGCCAGCGGGCTCTTGCATAATCAGAGGGGAAGGAAACCATTTCTCTATCTCCTTTCTGTACAGCGAGCAGAGTTTGGCACACGTCATTCTCTAATCGCGCCCCCTTCTCAAATGGAGAGGCTCTTTGGCCGATGGAGGCACCGCTCCAGCCATTCTCAAGGTTCCTTCTCCTCCGAAATTCCAGACGCAAGATAACAAGCAGACTGGGAGAGGACAGGCGACAGTTCAGGGTGGCTACGGTTCAAACGGGAAAGTGCACGAGAGAAGAACGCTGTGCAGAGTTCAAGCGCGTCATGTGGCCTTTTCCTGGCTAGCAAAGGTGTTGAAGCGTAAAGCCTCGTAGGGAAAAACCACCACGTGTGCACCTGGGCTTCCAAAGTTGTTATTTACACACAACCCTAAGGAGGAAAATGTCAGTTTGTAGATTGAACTGCCCAGCTGTGGACTCTTCCATGGACCTTCTTTCCACCCGCTCCATATTTACCTGTTGCACTGAATGCAGTACCTGCCCCCATGCTTACCGTCTAAAAAAGCACCACATGCAAGGAAAAGGGGATGAGGAGGGAAAAGGAGAAGCAGATGAAAGGCGCTATCGTATTGGACCTGCAACTCCCAGCCAGATAGGCTGGGACCTGGGAGACTTTGTGCTGCTTCTACACACGTGGGATTGTGCCCTGAATTTCCTGGTTTTTATGGTTTCATGGGGCTCTTTCTTGTTTTTGCTGCAATAAATCAACACAGTTACTCCTCCGCACAGCTTAAAAATGCTTAAATAATCCTTAAGTAGAGGATTTTCCCTTCTTTTTCAAGTACTGCAGATTACTGAAGAAATAGGGCTTCTGAATGAACAGGAGTCGCTGGTGCAGACCAAAAACTGGCAGAAACAGCCTTCCCTACTTTCAAGACAGGCAGGTGGGAGCCAAAGCAGCTCGTGTTGAGGAAGCGGAGCCCATCCACCCCGGCCCCACCTTCTCCCTGCGCCCGGCACAGTACTGGATCCATTCGAGGTAGATGTTGCAGAAGGAAGCCAGCGTGATCCCGGCCATGCGGTGATCGTAGTCCTCGTCTATGTTGAGGTTGAACGTGGGGTCGCTGTCGGCGTAGCTGAGCGAGGTGCAGGGCCACAGGGCCTCCTGGATCCCCTCGTGACCCATCCACTCCTCCAGCTTCGGGGAGCAAGTCACATAGTAGATAATGCTCTGCCGGCAGGAAGGAGGAAGGAGGGGGAGAGAAGGGCGAGAGGTGTTAGCAGAACTCAGCGGGGCCTCCTTCCAAGCGGAAATGCACAAGGCCACGGTGCTGCCTTCCACTTCTCCAGTGTGCAAGCGTCACTCCTGTGGTGGAGGGGAGGAAAAGAAGGGGAGGGAGGAAGCGGGGGGGGGGCACAAGGGAGAAGCGGAGGCTCCTCTGCACCAACCAGGATGGTCCAAAGAAGCGCCCCAGGCTGCAGAAAGAGTTCGAGGCTGAGGCCCCCTAGGCAGGGAAGCCGAGTCAAGGAAAGGCCTTAGAAGCAGCCTCCCTCCACCAGGCACTCTGTAGATGTCTTGGAGAAACTCCCATCACCCCTGGCCAGCAGGGGCCACCCTGGCTGGGGATGCTGGGATCTGTTGCCTGACATACCTTGGCCAAGTCTGGCCTATGCAAGGCTTCATGTGGAAAAGGTTAGCCTCACACGGGGGTGGGAGCCCTCGGGGCCGTGATGGCCACAAGACAGGCCGGTGGGGGGGCACACACACATAATTCCCCCCCACTCACTCACCCCCCTCCCTCCCAGAGAACATGGATGGGGCAGCCCCTCCCTACCACCGATAAGGGGCACATTGCAAAGACTGCTGGCACATCTTGCTGGTGATAAGTGCGGGGGCTGAAAACTCTTCCGGTGCTCCCCTCCAAGACTATGAGCAATGAGCGAACAGCAACGGGGCCCGGGCACCAGGGAGACCCGGGTTCAAGTCCCCACTCAGCCAAGAAGCACACAGGGTGACTTTGGGCCAGTCTCGGACTCTCAGCCTGGCCTACCTCACAGGGCTGTGCTGTTGTTAGGATAAAATGCAGCCATGGGGTTCCTCAGAACAGGGAGAAAGGGCAGGATAGAAATACAATGTAATGATGCGGCGAGTAGAAACAGCAGCGACAAAAGCAGGGCAAAGCTGGGGGTGGGGAAGGCGAGGCTTCTCACGTCGCGGGGAAGAGACGGAGGGGCAAGTCTCGCAGTCTTGCCGTTTGGACCACAGGAGGTCTCGGCGAGGCAACAGGGAGCGGAACCGCCGGTGCCCGAGGGGAGCCGAGCACAGGGGCAGCTCTGGCTGGCAGGCAGCCAGGAGGGAGCGGGGCTGAAGCGGGCCCGCCCGATTGGCCCAGAGCCGAGCATTCGCAGGGCGCCCATTGGTCGGGAGCTGGCACAGCGACAGGGACAGAACGCGGGCTCCTCAAGGCTGATTGGCCGGAGGGCTCGGGCTGCGGGTATATAAGGAGCTGCGGCGAGGCTGGCCGAGGGAGTCGGACTGGAGAGCCGCAGGAGCAAGTGAGGGGCTGAGGAGCCCGGAGCCCAGGGAGGACGAGCGGCCACGAGACGGGGATGCTGAGCCGGACCGGCAAGAGAAAGGCTCCTGCAGCAGCTCCCAGGAGAAGAGGCTGGCGCTTGAACGCCAGCCAGCAGCAAGGGCTGCAGCCTGAGCAACTACTGGACCAGACAGAAGACTTCAGAAGGACCCCTGGAGGAGCTGGACGAATGATGGGGAAGCTGAGCTGAGATCACTGGAGCCGAGACAGAAGTGCAAGAAGAGAGGGGGCTGCCGGACCGGCTTCTGGAAGAAGGAAGGGCTGCACCTTGAATGACAACTGGCAGCAAGGCTGAAGGCTGAGTGACCGCTGGACCAGACTGAAGACTTCAGGAAAAGCCTGACCATAAAGACTACCTTTCAAGCCTCATTGTCATCCATTATCCTCAGCAACCCTGTGAGGGCAGTCACTTTACTATTCTCTATACACACACCAATAATTTTCTATATATAATAATAATAATAATGATAAAATTTAAAATATGTGTCCTGTCTTTTTTTCCTGCAAGGTATTGGAGATAATTTGCATCACCCGCCCCCTCCATTTTATCGCCCCAATAGCCCTGTGAGGGAGGTTAAGCTGAGAGTGGCTGGCCCAAAGCCTTGGGGGGAGCTTCTCAGTGGAGGGGGAACTGGCGCCCAGATTAACCTGATCCAACTGGGGTGGGATTTTCCTACAGCGGCAGCTGAAAGGGGTGGTGGTGGATTTGCCCGAGTGCCCAAGCTACTGCCACAAGGTCTCCACAGCCTGCAGGCCGTCCCACGGCCAGAGGTTCTCTGGGCAGCCCACTGCACCGTCCTCGCTGCTCCTGGCTTCCTTTCTGGGAAGCCATCCAGAGACTTTCAGTAACGGGCGGCATCGCAGAACTTTACATAAATACAAATCAAACCTACGTATAATATAGAAAATACAGACAGAACAAGGGCATTTGAACGGAGCCTAAGCACAACGGGAGGGGAACGGAGAGTGGGGCAGGAGCTGCCGCCCTCACTGCCGACGGGGCGCCGCTGGGCCCGGGCCCGGCCTCACCTTGACGTAGTACGTGATGAGGATCTTGCGGAGGTCGAAGACCTGCAGCATGGAGGCGGCGTTGTTGTCGGTGATGCTGTAGCCCTCCAGGACGTACTTGGTGGCGGCCACCTCCCAGGCCAGCCAGCGCTGCCCGAAGGCGGCGTTGAAGCTCAGCACGCGCGGCAGGTGGCCCGGCTCGCAGCAGCAGCAGCCCTCGTCCTCCTCCACGCCCTCCGTGATGGCCTCCACCTCGCGCTGCTGGCAGTAGGTGCCTGCGGGGGGGGGGGGACAGCACTGCCTCGCACACTCGCCCTGCCCGCCGCCGGGGCCCTGCGGGGGGCGCTCCCCACCCCTGCCGCCCCCAGGCGTGCGCGGCTTCCCCGGGCAGCCCATGCAGGGCCCCGCCAGCGCCCCCGCCCCCCGCCCACTGCTCACCGCGGAACTCGAGGCCGCGCAGCTGGAAGGTGACCAGGCCGTTGCCGAGCTCGATGAGGTGCACCAGGGCGTTCAGGTAGTCGGAGGCCAGGATGAAGCAGTCGCCCGTGCCGTAGTTGCCCCAGCGGCCCAGCAGCAGGTCCCCGCAGAGCGTGTGCTGCAGCGAGCGCGTCAGGTGCTCGTAGAAGATGGAGTTGAGGTTGTTGTCGTCGGCGCCTGCGGGCCGGGCGGCGGGGGGAGAGTGGAGGCGGCGATGGGAGGCGGGCCGGCTCACGGGGGGGGGGGGGGGGACCCGGCGCGGGGGCGGGAGGGCTCGGGCCCAGTGCTGGGCGCCCCGGCACCCCAGGGGCCCCCGTGGCCCAGGGCGCCGGTCCCCAGGGCTCCTCCAGCACACCGCAGCAGCCCTCCGCTTCGCTGCACAGTGCCCAGAGGAAGCGGAAGGGGAAGAGGAAGGGGAAGAGCCTGGCCCCGGGGGCAGCGAGCCGGACTCCGCACTCCCCTCCCAGACAAGCCGCCTGACCGCGGGGGCGGCCCGGAGACACACCTGGGTTGCGGTCAAGCTGCGTGGCCAGCCGGGTGTTGGAATGGTCCACTCTCTTGGTGCTGCGGGAAAGGAAGGCGGCGGACCGGGTCAGCCCCCGCCAGCGAGCGCCCCGAAAGCCCAGCTGCGGGGCAGGAGCCGCTCGCCGGGGGCCTGCGCCCGGGGGCCTTCCTCGAACAGCCTGCTTGCTCGCTCGCTCGCTTACTTGTAGTCGCGCTCCCAAAACTTGACCGGGCGGGCGTAGGACATGATGAAGACGGCGCTGCCCAGAAGCGGGTTGAGGGGGGTGGAGAACAGGGCGGAGAGCACGGCCTGGACGAACAGCATGGCCGAGTCTGGGCGGGGGCTGGTCAAGGAAACCCCCAAACCGATTCGGCCCAGCAAGCAAAACCCCGAACCCGCCCCTCTCCCTCGCGCCTCTGCCAGCCTGCGTGAGAGGAACCGGCCGCTCAGCCGTGGAGCCAGGAAAGACCCCACCCCAAAGACCCCTGATGGGGGGCAGTGGGGCGAGGAGGTGCCCCTCCCAGCCCGACGGCTGGGTTCCCTCCCAAGTCCGCTTTCCCGGCGCCACTGCGAAAGCAGGCAGGACCAAGCGCTCAAGACGGAGCAGCGCACTCAAGCGCAAGCCTCTTCCTGCCAGACTTTTGACCCGGTTTGGCCTGGCGTTTCATTCCGCCCCTCTCGATCCAGCCCTTTTCCTGGGCACTGCGGATGTCAAAGCCACTCCTTTCCAAATGCGGTGTTGCTTGCCTTGCGGTAAGTTCCGGTGGGAACTGCTCTGAGTGGGGATGTGTGAGGAATCCAGAGGAGTTCTGCCTCTGTTACGGATCCTTCCCACGTCCCAAAGCATTTTCCCCATTCAGTCCCCCAGGATCCAGGCGGGTGGTGTGAGCTGAGCTGCCTTGCAGACTTCTGCCTCTAAGGCACGCTGCTGCTTGCACGCTCCTTCTGTAAGCCGTGAGCTGCCGGCGTTCGGCCCGAATCTAGGAAAAGGGTGCCCGGGTCGGCCGCTTGGGCCGTCAGAGGGTAAAAGGATACGAGGCACGGCAAAGGGCTGAGCGAAGGCGTGGAAGGCCGAGCCCCACGTGATCTGCCAGGGGGCGATGTAGGTGAGCACGAACCGCAGCTTGTACAAGAGATCCCAGAGCTGGGAAGGGGCGTGGGGTTCGGGGAAAGAGAGAGAGGCGGCTTACCCAGCGCGCACTGAACGGAGCCGGGCAGGGAGGCCACGTCGGGGGATGGCAGCCCCTGGGCTGGGCCCTGGGACCGGAGTCTGGGCCCCGCAGCTCAGGAAGAGGCCCAGGCCACGAATCGGAGAGTGCCGGGCTGCTGGAAGGCCTGTGGGAGCGGGCTGTGCCCACCCCCCCAGCCTGGTGCCCACCACCCCTGTGGGATCGCCCCACTTGCGCCACCAGCGTTCCGTCTCCAGCGGATGCTCGGCCGCCCTCCCGCGTTGCACACGGGGCCCGCGCACGACCCGCCGGGCCAGGTGGATGCCCCGCGTCCCGCGCGAAGCCACACAACCCGCCGGGGGACAGGAGCCAGGCCGGCACGCACCTTGTTGAAGAGGATGGACATGACGAAGTAGTCGGTGAGGAAGCCCTCCGAGTACTGCTTGTAGTCGAACTGGAAGAAGAGGACGGTGAAGCCCAGCGTGACGTACTGCTGCGGGGGGCAGCAAAAGGAGCAGCGCAGCAGCTTCATGCCCGCCACCGTGATGAGCAGCGCCCGGCAGCTGCGGTTGCAGGGAGACAGCGGGGGGGGGGGACGGGGAGGACAGGGGGGAGACGTGAGATCAGTGCACCTTCCGCCGGTCCCACCTCCCCGGGAGGGGAGCCACATCTCTGAGCCTCTCCTGCAGACAGAGCTCAGTGCCGCCCGCTCTTCCCACACGAGGGCCCGACTTCTTCAGAGACTTCTAAGCAAAGGCCAACGGTGCTGCCCGACAGCACTGCAGCACAGGCAGCTGGGACCCGCTTAGCGGGAGGGGCTGGCGGCGCCCGATGGCACTCGGCTTCGCCCTGGCAGCGGCCAGGGGGCCCGCCTCTCAGGGCTGTCGCAAGAGCAGCTTTCCTGCATGAGCAGGGGGTGCTTTTGGATTTATGCTATTCACATCCCGCTTTTCCTTTCGTAAGCAATCCAGGGCGGGTCACATACTCCTCCTCCTCCTCCTCCTCCTCCTCCTCCCTATTTATCCTCACCACAACCCGGGCAGGCAGGCTCAGGGACCGGCATTTCAGGGCTCAGCTACAGGGGCTCCCGTGGCCGCCGCCTCTCCGGGAGAAGCAGCCTGCCTGCCTCAGAATGCCTCCTGTGGGGGGGGGGGGGGGGGGCCCGGGCACCTACTAGACGCAGAGTTTGTCCTGCCGCGGGGCGCTGACCAGCTGGGCGTCGATGCTGAGGGCGTTGAGCACCACGGCCGGGTAGATGACGTACTTCTCCACGCACTGCAGCCAGGCGTACAGCTTCTCGAACCACATCAGCTGGGCTGCACCTGGGAACGCCGCGGGAGAGAAGAGGCCTGGCTGGGGCACCCGCTCACCGGCCGCACGCGCCCGGCCCTGCCCCACAGCCGACTCAGGGCCGGCGGCGCAGCCCGTTGGGGTCCGGGGAAGCGGACGGGGAGCTGGCACAACCACACATCCAAATCCCCACGGCCGATTCCTTCTCTAGCATATTAAAGGCTCGAGTTGGCCTTCACAAGATGCCTGGCAGAGAGGGCTGGGAGAGAAACCTGGGACCCCCTTCCTCCGCCATTCGCAACGCATGCCAGAAAACATAGAATAAAGGTAGTTTTCATTAAGCCAACAAGAAGGGCGACCCATCCAGCCCTGCCAGGCAGGCTTTGACCGGGCGTTGCTTCCCACGGTCTCTCAGATTAGACTTTCCTAGCCCTGGGAGTTGGGGATCGGCTGGGATGGGGGACGGGTGCAGCCGGCACTCCGCTGCTGAGTGACAGGCTCTCCCACGGCACCCTCCTGCCTGAAGCGGCGATGCGAGGAGGGGGTGCAGAGCTGCCTTCCCCGCACGAGAGCAGGGAAGGCCGTACGCCCACCCTGCTCCCGACCCACCACGCCCCGATGTGGGAAGGAGCCCTCCCTGCCGTGCTTCTGCAGACCCATCCGAGGGGGCAGGGCCGTGTCCCAAGCGGCTTGGAGCGCCTTCCCAGGCACGCTGTGGCAGATGGTCCTGCGCTCGGACAGCAGGGCTCTGGTGCTAGGGGACCTGACCCCCGGAGGTTGCTCCTTCGGCTCCCAGGAGCCCCGCCAGCGAGTCAGGGAAGCTGGGAGTCGGACTCCAAAGGCCTGGAGGGTGCCTTCCGCCCGGGGAGCCTCGGCAGGCTTGGCCCCGCCACCCCTCTCCCCACGAGGACGCACTTACTGCGCACTTCGAACTGGCTGTACTCCTGGGGCTTCAGCACAGGCTGGGAGAGGCAGAACCAGGGCAGCTGCTTACGGAGCTGGGGCAGCAGGTAGTGGGTGACGAACCCCACCAAGCCGGCCAGGGCGTAGAGCACGTACCCTAGAACAGACTGAGAGGGGCGGGGTGAGAGAGGGCGGCCTCGGAGCCGGAGCGCGGGGGCCGGCCCCCTCCGGCGGTGGGCTCAACAGGCGCTTGCGGCTGGAGCAGACCGGCTGGCGCCTTTGCCAACAGCCCCAGAAATAGGCCCTGCGCCGGCCGAGCGAGTGCAGCAGCGCTGGGGAAAGCGCGTTAAGAAGCCCCTCGCTCCTCCTCAGAGACCCCCAAAGTTCTCCAAGAGGGCTGTCCATCTCCCAGTCCTCCCCCATAATTTTTTTCTGGGCCTCCAGCACGGCCCCCTCACTCAGGCACGGGCGACGTGTGGCTGCCCGGGTGCCTTGTGCTCCGGCCGCCTGGCAGAACCCGGAGTTGCAGGCCCGAAGGTCAGGGCTGCCTCGAGTCGCCGGCTCTGCCTGAGCCACGGAGCTGCGCACCAAGCCCAATCCGGCACCCGGCTCCTTCCCTTCCTAGAGCTGGAAATCGTGTCCCCCACCGAGCTCAGGGCCTCAAGGCCCAGGCTTCAGCAGGTCAGAGCCCCAGAATCCCCACGCCAGGCGGGTCATGAGCAACTGGGCCGCCATCCCTGAAAGCTGGCCTGCCTCCCCCCGGGGGTCACTCCCCGCTTTCCCCACGGATACCTCCAGAGCGATGAAAACCGTGCTGGCGCTGATGGCGAAGGTCAGGACGGCGATGACCAGGCACATGACGAGGTCCGAGTGGAGGATATCCCGCTGCATCGGGGGGGGGGGGTGGTGAGGGCAAGAGCTTGCGCACAGCTCCCTCACCCCAAACACGGCCTGCCCCTTTGCACGAAAGACCCACAGCTCCCCTCCTGTAAAAGAACCCCCCCCCCGACTTTCCCCTAACATTTTAGCTTTGACCCCACCAACTTTCGGCCTGCACCCCTGACGGGCAGCTCTGCCCCAGGGCAGCCGCCTTCCTCCCAGCGCCGCCTTCCTGCCCACTCACCAGGGAACCGCGCAGTTTCTCCGGCAGCGGATCCTTGATCCCGACCACGGGGCTTTCCACATTGCGGTTCTCAAACTCGGGGAAAAGCTTGCTCCGTATCAAGGACCTAGAGGAGAGGAGGGGAGGGGAGCCCCGGGCACTGAAACTCCGGGGGCCGGTTTCCCTTGCCTGACAGGTAAGCTCCCCTCCCCCCTCCGGCCCTTGGGGCACGTGTCCCCGCGCGCTCTGAATCCTGCAAGGGGGTCCGGGGCACACTTGCCCAGTGGGAGGGAGTGTCGCCCGTGAATGAAAACATCTACCATGGTGGGTGGTGTCAGCCAGCAGGAAAACTGGCCAGCCTAAATGGCGAAGAACTTGCCCAAGGACCGAATTAAACAGATGGAATCTAAGCCCCAAACGCAAAGCTGCTCTTGGGAGTCCAGATTAAGGCACGGCTGGAGCCAGCGCTGTGCAAAGCCGGGCCGACAGACGCGGGAGGGTGGGTGGAAACGTCTGGAGGACACCGAATGCCCACGAATGCCGCACCGGGGACCAACCAGCCACCCGCCACCCGGATGCTGGACACCCTCCAGGCTTCCGACTGCCGCATCAGGCCGGGCCGCGCACCAGAGGACGGTTGGGTCGCTGCTCTGGCGGCTGAGGTGGTAGGAGAGCGCCACGAGGAGGCCGCAGAAGACGGAGAACAGAACGGGCACGTGCTGGTCGCCCCACGGCGCCTGGAAGGCAGGGAGAGAAGCGGGAGGATCAGTCGCTCTCGGGCCGAGCAGCGAGTTGAGGGCTGCAACGGCGATCGAAGGGCTTCGCTCCCCATCTTTCTGCCCAGGGGCTCCGTGTCCCCCAGCGAAAAGCACCTCTCTCAAGGAGGGTGACCGGCCCCTCCGCCCACCATCGGAAGATCGGTCCCATCAACAGACAGGGAGCTCCTGGATACTCCTAAGGCATGAAAAAAGGGGGCTTTCCGGGCCTGGGGGACAACCAGGCGTTTTGGAGGAAGCGGGAGAAAATGCAACGCCGCTTTTGAAGCAGAGTCAATGCAACGGAATAGCCTTGGGGGTACAAAAGGGGGCGAGGCGGCCCCTCCCACCCCCCGGGAGCCGCTGAGGCTGTTTAATCCGCCCCCGGCACCCCAGTGGGAGCGAGATACCTTGAGGGCTCCAAGGCAGAAGCCGTACAGGAGGGCGGCCACGAGGACGCTGCGCAGCAGGGCGAAGGCGGCGGTGTAGGGGCTGGTGGCGGCTGGGAAGGAAGAGCAGGAGATGGCCACCGAGGCAGGGCTTGGGGGGCCGTGGGGGGCTCCCAGGGCCGGCACCACTCGCGGCACACGAAGACGGGGCCACGCCGGCCGGCAGCGCTGCCCTGAACCCGGCACCGCGCCGCTCAAGAGGTCCGCGGGGGAGGCACGTGCGCGTGGCAAACCCCGCAGGGCCGGCAGCGCGGACGTCCCCACGCACAGGGCATCGCCGGCTCTCGTGCTGCCAGAGCCCCGGCCATTCTGGCCCGGTGTGCTGACACGGGCCGGCAGCGGCTGCCCACCGGGGTTTCAGGAAAGCAGTTCTGCAGCCCAAATCGGGGCCGTCTGCATGCAAAGGCCGTGTGCCACGACACGGCCAGGTTGCAGCACTGGAGGCTGCCTCCTACTGCCTCAGACCCTGGCTCTATCTAGCCCAGTATTGCTAACACGGGCCGGCAGCAGCGCCAGCAGCTCTCCAGGGCGACCGGCGGGCACAGCCCCAGCCCTACTTGGAGAGGTGGGGCAGTTGCCCCTGGGGACCCCCTCCGTGCAAAGCATGCAGTCAACGGCTGACTTGTGGCCTTTCCCCTGCTTGGGAGGGATAGGAGTGGCACTCTGCGCATGCTCTAGGCAAGAGTGAGCAGAAAGCAGGTCCTCAGATCTTCAGCTACCAGGCAGGGGACTGAACGTGGCACCGGCTGCGTGCAAAGCGGGTGTTCTTCCCCCAAGCACCCGCCCCTCCCTGCCAGAGGGACCCCGGCATCCGAGCGCCTCGCCCCCTCCCCTCCGGCCACGTCTCCACACCTGTTCCGCCAAAGATGTTCATGTCCACCTGTTCCAGAAGGTACATGAAGCAGGTGTTGACCTGAGGGAGGAGTCCGAAGAGGAAGATGGCCGGGAAGCAGAGCGTGAACACTGGGCAGAAGGCGGGGGGGGGGAGAAAAGGAGTTAAGCTGGGGACGAGCCCCCCACAGGAGCCCCCGGCGGCCCCGACCCCGCCCCCCTGCTCACCAATGGCCACGTTGCGGGCACAGTAGAAGAAGTCCGAGGAGAAGAGCAGCAGCTCGTAGAAGGCGACGGGCGGGAAGGGCGCCGCGCGAGCGCACAAGTCCAGCAGCCAGACGGACAGGCAGGCCACGCAGAAGTACACGGGCCGGCTGTACGAGATGATCCAGTTGTGCCCCTGCCGGAGAGACGGAGCGCTGGAGCAGCCCTGCGGGGGCTGTTCTCGGGGGCCGGGGGAACGGGGCGGCCCCAACGCTGCTGCAGCCCCCTTCCTGCCGGGAACCGCGCCTTCGGAGGAGAGCTGCTGCCCCTTTCCAGATGGGGACAGACCGCATGGAGTCTGAGGAAGGCGCTTGGGAAAGGGCAGCTGGCACGGGGACAGGGAGCGGCCCGTGGGAGCCCCAGAGGGGGGCGCCAGGCCTGGGGCTCCGCACCTCGGCTCGACGGCAGGACAACCAGAGCCCGAGGCCTCTGGGCCTTTCCGCCACGGCCCCAGAGCACACGCTGCTGAAGGCGCTTCGGGATCGCCGCCACCGTTCCTGCTCTGTGGCTCCCCCGCCCCCCCACCCCAAAATGCCCTGTGCTTCATGGCCCTTGCCCGCAACGGGGCAGGAAGGGGGTTCCGCGGCTGGAAGCCCCGCTGAACGTCGGGGGGGCGCAGTGCTAGGAAGAGGCGCGTTCCCTGCCCCGGCCCTCCCGGGGACCCTCCGCAGTCCTGCCGGTTCCTCGCGGCTGGGTGCTCACGTGCATGGGCGAAGCAGCATCGGGCTGGACGCTCTGGAAAAGAGAAGGGGGACGAAGGTGGGCGTCAGGCCGCCCGTCCCCTGGCAGAGGGAGAGGGCGCCCCCTGGCCCCACCAGAGCGGGTGGCGGCTTCAGCCGAGCCGTCCCGCCTGCCCCGGGCACGCAGAGCCAGGCCGTCGCTTGCTGCGGACGTGCAGAACAGTGGGCCAGGGAAGGGGGGCGGAAGAGGGGGAGGCGTCTCGGGCTGTGGACATGGCGGGGCGTCCCGGGAAGCACGAGGGGCGGACGGGGGGGTGGCGCACCTTCAGCAGGGAGTACTGGCAGCTGGCGATCACCACGCAGAACTGGAACACCCAGATGTCCTTGAAGAAGCCGCGCATGAGGAGCAGGTAGCCCAGGAAGGCGACAAGGCTCACCAGCAGCACCACGAAGACGTTTTCCGCCACTCGCCGGTTCCTGGGGGCAGAGGAGTGACCCAGAGGTCGCAGCGTGCATGGGCAGCCCCCGCGTCTGGCTCACCCAACTTCCTTGCCCGCGTCCTGGAAGCAGGACATTGCTGGGATAGGGCAACAGAAGCTGGTGCTTCTGCGCACGCGCAGAAAGCCAAACCAGGGCAAAACGTTCTGTTGCGCTCAGAAAGTGTTTGCCTTTCTTCTTAAAGGTCAAATCTCTAGAGGCATTTGATTCATTAAAATAAGGAGGCTCGGATCTGTTCGCACCCACGTTGGAGAACGGTAGCGAGGAGCAGTACGCCAAAAGCCTTTTGGCTTCTTCCCTGAAAGCGGCTGCCTGAGATCAGCCTCTCCACAAGCTGGTACCTCCCTGGTGCACTGAACTACTTTCGGGGATACAGGGAAGAAATTTCTTCCATTTTGTGACTACATTTGTCACAAGAAATATCATCTACCAGTTCCAAATACAGTATCGGGTAAGTGCGAGATGCTGTAATGCGCGATTTCTAAAGGCTTTGATATTCCAGTTAAGAATTCTGCATCCAGTAACACTAAAATTGCATTAAATGGCCTCCCCGCGAAGATCTCTCGGGTCAAATATTTACTGTATCCTGAAAGCAGAAGATGAACCGACGACGCTTTGGGGGTTTCCCCACCTATTCTCCTAAATGAAAGGAAGTGACCCAACAGCTGGATTGGGGCGGGCAAGCCAAGAGGCTTGGGCCCACAAATCCATCACCAAAGCGGCAACGGGCTCCGGGACTCACCGGTCCAGCAGGGCCAGCAGGGCCAGCCGGTCGTACCGGACGCGCATCCAGCGCCCGGGCAGCACCCAGAACTTGTAGTACTGCCGTGGGTGACACTTGTCCTCGATCATCAGCGTGTTCTCCTGGGACTCGTGCAGCGATTCCTGATCTAGGAGGTCGAACTGGAGGAAGAGCAAGCTAATCAGGCAGGTACCCGTTTCTGTTTATCACCTTCGATCACCCCTCAAAGCTACAGGTGGGCAGACACAACGAAGAACCCCTGCCTTGAATCTGCTAACTCTTGTTCAATCCTCTCTCTGCCCCCTCTTTTATTTTTGCAAAACAGAGGGGGGAAATTCTGCTAAGCCCCAGTTTTGGGTTGTTTCCAGAGGGAGAAAGAAGAAAGAGCAAAAGCGCTTCAGCATCACTGGCAGAATCAGAGGTATTTGCCACGGTGGATAAAGATGATGGGAAGAAACCCCTCTTTGGCTTGAGGGTTGCCCATTCAGTGCTCCAAATTATATTCTGACTCTGCCATTTGGGAAGTGGGGAATAGGCTCACCAAGAGGCCGGACTCCTGGGTTCCTTCTCCAGCAAAGACTCCCACAAGTCTGAGAGCCGAACATGCAGAGGAAAGTTCTCATGTGGGACAGCTTTGGCGCAGGCCAAAGCTGTGTTTCCTCTGCAGACTTGGGCACACCGTAGCATGGGATTCAGTGCTAAAACGAGGCGGAAGTAGAAATTTTTCCTTCTCTAACCTAGTAAACCTCATTTGCAACTTTTCCGGCAAAATAACTTTTCTGGAGGAGGAATCTAGCTTGAAACACTGAAGGTGCAGTCCAGCTAACACTTCCGACAGAAAAGGCTACTGATTCCTAGCTGCGCTGGCTTGGAAATGCTAGGAACTGTTGCTTGTTCTTTCCCATGTTTAACATTCATGGGAATGAGCCCCACTGCATTCCTGTGCTCTTAGATCTTAACTACCACCACGGCTGGCATTTTACTCCGGTTCCAAAGTGCGAAAAGGTTTTAGGTTTCACTTGCTGTCTCGCACTCTGCGGTTTTAATTCCTGTGAATTGTTCAGAGTAGTTTAGCTCTTGGGCTAAACAGAAATGCAGGAAATAACAAAAGATTCAAAAGACAAATGGCCAGCTTCACAGCTTGAGGGGTCTAATCCAGCAGTAAAATTCAGGCGGGTTCCAATCGGCTCTGGAAACACGATGTCTACGGGCCTTCTGCACCAGGCAGGCAGGGAGCACTCCGAAAGGAGGGAGCCGTAACAACGCAGCTTCAGACACCAGGAGGACCCTGTGGCCCTCGGCCCCGGGGCCTTACCTCAGGGATCTCCAGAGGCACTCTGCGAACTTGCATGCCCTGCAGGACCACGGGCCGCGGCTGCAGCAGCGTGAGGGCGGGGGTCCCTTCCGGCACCTCCGCCGAGTTGAAGCTGGAAGAATGGGAATGCCTGTCCCTGCGGAGGCAAGCGGAGGGGACCGTGGATCACTGTGGCCATGCCGGCCGAAGCACAGGCCGGCGGAGCGGGCTTCCCCACCACCGGCAGCCCCTGTAACTCTGGACTCTGCACGCACCGGGCTGGGAAACCTCAGCCTTGGGGACTAATTCCACCCCTCTGGGCGTCCCCTGGGGCCACACACCCCTCTCCGGGCTCCACTTCCTTTCCCCAGCCACTAACCACCGGCAGCCACGCCAGCACGCTCCTTCCTTCCGTCCAGGGCAGCCTGGTGGTTCCTCCTTCCCCTCCCAATTCATCCATATTTTCCAGAAGCCGCATTTAACAAGGAGAAGTCATCTCCTCATCATTTTTAGGCAGTGAAAAATTCCCTGAGCAGCTCTCCGGAAGTATTCCGACTCCACGTTTTTCAAGCGACCGGCATCTCCGCCGGATTGTCCCGAATGAGGTTCGAGAGGTGGCCAAAGGGGGTCTCACCAGCCACTGTTGGTTGTTGGGTGGTCCATGCTGACTTGCTGACCCACTGGGTTCTCATAGCCGCCGCCAGCGAGCCCAAAGGTGTACGAGCGCCGGACTCCTGGGAAAGAAGGGGCAGAAAATGGAGAGGAGGGCCACACCAATACTGGATCCCTCCTGATGGGGAGACGGCCTTCACAAATAAATCCCCGTGTATGTATAAGGAATATGGAGATTACTTCTATTAAGCATGGGTTGCCCCTTGCCAGAGGGGACCAGCACGCAGTTCGAGACTCTTGCACTCAAAACATTCTGCTCAGAATCGCAGCTGACTCTGTGCACATGAAATTCAACATCGTTATGGTGCTTCTGCTACAGACAGGGCTTGGCTACCAAAGGCCTAGAAATAAATCAAAGAACGAGCACTCCTAAATAGGCCCACGGTGCCTCCACTTACTACAGAAAGGAAGGTTATGTCCTTCCCAGAAGCAGAAGCAGAGGAACACGAGGGGACCTGCTCTTTTGACATAACCATCTACGATCCAGCTTGGCAAAGCCTCGTCCCGAAGGAGCAGGCTTCCATATATGGTTCTCTGAAACTTAAGACCTGATTTAGAAACTCTTCCCGATGGGCTTCTGCCAACTGAAGGTCTAAGCCAGCTCAGGGACCAGCAGCCTTCCTCCGGAGAAGCTCATTCACCGTCTTTCCAGTGCCAAGCAAACGCCTTTTTTATTTGCCAGGGCTTCTATCAACAAGTACTTAAAAAGGAGGAGGAAGACCGGGCCTCTCCGGAGCTGGAGGAGGCTCTGCTGCCCACCCCTCGCCGGCCCGCTCACCGCTCTCGTCGTAAAAGTAGTGCACGGCCCCTTCCGAGGTGTCGTCGAAGTTGCAGGCCTCGTGGATGATGCCGCGGGGCAGCAGGAGGGAGCTGGCGAACTGCAGGGCCGAGGGGAGCGTGAGGGTGCGGGAGTGCGACGAGGCCCGGCCTCGCTGCAGGTCCTGTAAGCTGCAGAGGGCGGCGGGTCAGCGGCTGTTCGAGGCGGGCGAGGGGGGTGCCCGCGGGCGCCGGGGCTCGGCTCGCCCCGCGTCCTGTGCCCAGCGGCACACTTCGTTCCGTTTGGGCGGGCAAAGGGCACGTTTCTAACTCACTGCGACAGAAGCGCCCGCAAAGGCTGACTTTCCTTGCTGCCGGTCAAGTGCCATGATGGGCATTTTACAAGTTCCTAGCCCTGAAAGGGTGCATTTTTCGGCCATGCATACGAGGCCGGCAAGTACCGTTTTGGGGAACACGCGCTCCCGCCTGCATGTGCGTTCAGCATTGCAAAATTGACGCAACGTCCTCGCCCTCCCGAGCAGCCGCACCATGACAAAGACGGGGGGGGGCACGAGAGGGGGGCGTACCTGGGCGGGGATCCCATCACCGAAGACGGAGGGGTGGGGTTGCTGCCCGCGTTGTGCCGGCGCCTCATGGCCTGCATGCGCTTCACGCTGCTCGAGCGGTCCGACTTGGGGCCCTCCTCCGCTGTGGGGGCTGCAGGGAAAGGGCAGGGGTGAGAGGCCGCCTCCCGGGGGCCCTGATGGAGGCACACGAGGCTCCTGTGCGGGGCAGGCCGGGCGCCGAGCCAAAGAAATGGGGGTGACCCATAGCCAAGCTAACAAGAGCGTGACGGAGAGCGGAACTGGAGCGGACGGAGACGGTGCCACTTCCACTTTTCAGGAGGATCCAAGCCAAGGGACCACAAAGGCTGTGTGGGCGCAGAGAAGCATGCAGGATGCAAGGACGAAGGGTGCAGCACCCCCACCCCAAAACACACACACACACACACACACACACACCTGCTTGGAGCACTTGAAGCCTCTCCAAAAATCCCCACACCCATTCCCAGTCCGCTCTGGATGCAGCAGAGGCACCTGGCCTCGTGGCCTGCCCGTCTCTCTGCACTGCCATCCTGATCTTGCCCCCGCTTGCAGCCATCGCTCCGGCAGCTCCACCTGCTCCCCAAAACCATTCCCCTCTTCCTCTCTCTCTGCCCCCCCCCCTTCCCACCCCCACTCAGAATCTGTCTTTGCCATGAAGCTGCAGGCCACTTCCACAGCCCATTCACAAGCTCCCAGCTTTGGGCACTCCAGGAGCACAAATCGTGGGGCAAAGCGCAGTAGTGCCCACGCTGGGCTCCGGAGATGCAGGCGCCACTCTGGCTCAGCCGAAATCATGCGGCGGCCAAACGAGACGACGAGCAACGGGAAGAACAGCGCCACCGCTCTCCTGCCAACGCCCCCGGCCTCCCCTTCTCCCTCTCCTCTGACATTTCTGTTTGGAGGAAAGAAACTTTCTTCGCATATGCCCTAAAAGCACCATGCGAGATGCGAGGATCTTGTGCTCCCGACCATCTCGAACAAGACGTTTGTGTAAGCACTGAACCACCCCAGACTTCTGCACAAAGCGCTTCTGACAGCACACGTCTGTTCTGAAACATGCACAGCAACGTCAAACTGGGGGTCTTCCGCCTGGGACCCCTCCTGACTTCAGATTTCATTTACTGCGGGGGGGGGGGGGCTTTAGTAAGCCTAAAGTAACTGGGGGCTGGTCATTGCCGACGGGGGCCCCGATCGCAGGCAGCCTGGGGACCCTCCACACCCTGCCCCGCTCTCTCGGCTGCCCCGCACAAAGAAGGGCCCCCCTGGCCCGCGCGGGCCAGGTGCCTCGGAGCGGAGCGAGCCATGCCCGCCCCGCAGGGACTCACCGCCTCCGACGGCCCCTTCCACTGGCAGCTCCCCGCGCCAGCCGGGCTGGTTGGCCGCCTGGCCCTGTGCCGCGCTGCCCAGGTCGGGCTCAACCGCCAGCTTCCCGGCGTGGGACTCCAGGTCCGACTTGGAGAGGGTGAGGGTGGCGGGGGGCTTGCCGCCCTCGGCCCCGCGGCCCCCGTCCATGCTGAGCACCCGGGCGTGGGTCTTGGCGCTGGCCGTGCTCCCGGCCCGCTGGGCGTAGCAGGAGGGCCGGGCGGGCAGGGGGGCGCCCTCGGGGGCGGGGGGCGGCTTGGCCTCGGCGGCGGGGAGGCCCGGCTTGCCACGGGGGACGGGGGGCAGGCGCTCCGGGGAGTAGCAGGAGGTGCTGGAGGAGCTGTCCGTGCTGTAGTTGCGCTGCGAGTGCAGGCTGGAGGCCCGGCTGAGGTCGCTGCAGTCGCTGGAGTCCTCGTCGGCGAAGAAGCCCTCCGCGTAGGCCTTGCTGTCCAGGAGGGTGCGCATGGGCAGGTAGGCCCCGCCGTGCTTGCGCGAGAGGCGCCGGCGGCCCTTGAGGGCTGGCTCCTTGGGCCGCACCACCTGCTCCAGCTCGGGGGCCCCCCAGAGCTCCCCGTCGCCCTTGACGGTGTCCAGGGAGTCCAGCGTGTTCTGCGTGTCGAAGCTCAGCTCCCCGAGGAGGCCCAGCTCGGGCGAGCGCAGCAGCTCACTGTCCGAGAGCGCGTCGGTGTCGCTGCCGCCCTCCGGGGGCGGGGATGGGCCGGGGGGCACCGGCTCCCCCAGGCCAGCCCCGCCGGGGCCCGGGCCCAGCAGGGGGCTGTCCAGGTGGGTGGAGTTGGTCTTCTCGCTGCGGTAGCTGCTCAGGGTGCTGGGCGTCTCCTTGTCGGTGCCGCTGAAGCAGCTGTCCGAGGAGCCGGCCTGCAGGGGGCCCTCCGGCCGGGGCTCCAGGGGCTGGTAGTCCGTGCCCGAGCGCCGCGACTCCCGTGGGGCGAGGCTGCCCGCCTCGGGCAGCGCCAGGCTCAGGAAGCTGTGGCCCAGCTCCTCGCTCAGGCTGTTCTTGATCAGCGGGCTGAGCGGCGTGTCCCCCACGCTCTCGGACTCGCTGGCCGGCCAGCGGGGGGGCGCCCGCGAGGCCGGCCCTGCTGGCGGGGACGGCTCCAAGGAGTCCGTGCTCTGGAGGGACGTCTGGACGGGGAGGGAGGTCGGCTGCTTCCGGCCGCTGGACGGGGGCTCCGCGCCGGGGGCGGGCAGCGAGCCGCTGCTCCCCGCTTCCAGCTCGGCGGGGGCTGACGTGTCCGCCCCAGCTGCAGAAAGAGGGACAGACGGAGGGAGAACCGGGGTTGGTGCCTGGGACCGTTCTGGGGCAGCCCCGAGGCCTGGAGCTCCCTCCCCACCGGCTCGCACCCTCCCCAGCCCCTCAGGGCGAGCCCGGCCGTTCTCCCGCCGTCCGCCTCGGCTCCGGGCGGCCTCCGCCTCCCACCGCCTGGCCGGGGCAGAGCCCTACCGCAGTTCTCCGGGGAAGAGTGCTGCAGCATCTCGCGATCGGCCGCCGTGACGATGACATTGTTGCTGCCCCGCTCGCGCACCAGCTCCTTGATGTCTGCGGAGAGAGCAGCAGAAGGCCTCGCTGGACCGTCCCCCGAGACGCAGGGGGCCTGCTCCCCATGGCATGCGCAGGGAAGCCCTCTCAGGGCCCCTCCTGGCCCTGCTGTTCCCCATCCCTGCCTGGAAACACAGGCACACATCTGCACCGAAGCGGCCGAGGCGGATTGTGCGCCCGTCTCACAGAACGGCTCACCTCTCACGGGGCCCCCATCCTCCAAGTGGGGCAGCAAGTCCTGGAAGGCAAAAAGAAGGGGGCGATTAATGCTGCTCTTTCGCAAAGGGTCTAAAGGGGCGGGAACAAAGACTGGGGCGCTGGCAGGACCTCCGTGCTTAAGGGGAAAGGCCGCTGCTCAGCCGGACACGCAGGTCTGATCTGCAGCAGCCCCAGGCGGGGATGAGAAACGGCCCGCCCAAAGCCCTACAGAGCAGCTGCCAGTCCGTGTGGACAAGACTGGACTGGACGGGCCAAGGGCCCGGTCGGCCAGGGAGCGTGACGGAACGATCCCAACTGTGCCTCGACGGAAAGTGGGACCTCGCAACCGACGTCTGTCCTGCTGGGCTTGTCCGTGTGGGGAGCGGGCGGCGCCGGCCCTGCTTTGCACGGTGCGTTCATGGCGAAGGAGCCAGGGCAGTTTTGCCCCCGGCCCCACTTCTGGTGCCTCCAGAGACATTTTGCGGGCCAGTGGGAAGCGCAACGTGGCACCAGATGGACCGGCACGGCCCTTTCCAGGGTGCCAGAGCACCCCCTTGAGAGCGCTGCTGCTCAGGCATGACCCAGACAGAGAATGAGCTGTTGAACCGTAGACTGAAAAGAGCATTTAAGTGCCTTTCTACCCAGCCGGTTCATTTCCTCCCCAAAATGCACCCCCCCCGACAGTTCCTCCTGACACCTCTGTTGCTCCAAAGCATTTGCATCGACTCCGGAAGGGGGTGACCAAAGCCCCGAGTCCCTCCCCCCCGCACTGCACAACCGCCTCCATCCCGACAGGACAGGACGGCCCAAGCGGCCCCCTCAGCCTTACCATGACTTGGTTGAAGCCGAACACGGAATGCTGGGAGCTGCACCGCACGGGAGGCGTGGAACTGACCTTGCGGAATACAGTCATCTCCACCCCGCCGGCGTCCCTGCCAGGAGAGAGGGGCAGGAATGGCGCCAGGCTCGCTTTATTTGCACCCACAGGGGGACGCTTGGGCTCAATTATACACCCGGGTGGACAAGGAGAAACGAGTCCACACAATGCCCAGAGCTGCCCGGCAACGGAACAGTCCTCAGACTATTAAGGGATGGCTCCAATCTGGCCGCTGCTGCGTTCCACAACGAGGGGTGCATGCAAACCCCCCAGACCCTTTCAGCCGGCCCACCAGGATCCTCCCACCTGGATCGCTGCCCCTGCTGCCCCCCCCATCCAATGCCCCACCTGGCCAGGTTTCCCTCGTCAGCTGCAGCTTCATCTTCGGTCTTGGTCGCTTCCGCCAGAGCCGAGTTCTTCTCCACGATCTCTCCCTGGTCGAACATCGTGTGCAGGCGATAGTTGACAACTTTGACGGTGGTGAAGAACGTGGCCACCCCCACGCAGTACACGCCGGCCACGGCGTAGGTGGCCGGCATCACCTGCCACGGAGGAAGGGCACAGGCTAAGTTCAGAGCAGTAAGCCCAGCATTCAGCAGCCGCTCTCCAAGGCACGTAATTCGGGACATATTTGACTATTTGCATCTTTGTTAACACGTTACATGAGGGGGCACTTCTCTGGAACCCTTGCATGCTCGGAACGGCATGAGCAGCCTTAGGGGCTACACAGAACTCTTCTTCAGGTGCCGGGTTCAAAGCCAACTTTCTTTTTAAGTGCGGGAAGGCAACAGCACATCTTTAAGCACGCCGGCGCTCTGGTGTTTCCTTTCAGCTTGCACACTCGCTGAAGGAGCCGTTGAGTTTGCTTTTGAGACACTGCCACAGCTGCGGCCAAATTCCTGCTGCTGTCTTTTGAAAAGGAAAGTCCCAGGCACCAAATCCCCCACCTGATACCGACCTAATCGACTAATGACGCAGGGATCCGGAAGAGAGGTACGGCCCGGAGAGCACGATATAAGGATGCAGCACCTGCTCTGCATACAGAAGCCCAAGGACACCCCCTGTCCTCCCTCGTGAAAGGCCGCAACTGAGAGACGGCCTGCAGGGCCCGGCCAGCCGAAAGAAGCAACATCTGGCTTCGCACAACACAAAACTCTCACTCAGCAATTGCCACTGAAGCATGGGTGTTTGCAGAGATGTGAGCAATCGCCCGAACAAGCCGTGGAGAGAACCGTGGTTTGCTGCTGGGTTGGGAACCGTGGGTCGTATACCATTTCTGTTCTCTCTGATGCAGGGGACCTGACAACCTATATTTCAATGGCAACCCACATTCAATGCACACTCAGCCCTTAAGTGATGATTACCATGCTGCTTGGACCCATTTGATTCCAGATGCAGGCTCCATCGTCCTTCCTTAATCCAGTTTTAGGACAGAGATTCACCTGAATTCGCTCCATCCACCTGAAGGTTTGGCTTTGCAGACGTCAGACTTGCCGTGTCAGAACCGCCAAGCAGGGTGGCCATGAACCGCTTGCTTTTGCACTGACACCTCACTCACAAGCCTATTTTGGGCGCGGAGGGGGAAAGGGCTAACAGAAAAGCACATCACCCGCCACTCCCTGGCCCAGGCCTCTCCGACCCTCCATCGCACCTCATCTTCAATCACGTGTTGCAGTAATGACTCAGAGAACTCAAGCACGATTAAGTCTCACAATCCGATCCTAGAATCCCTGCACTGCCAATTACGAGAACTGGGCACAGGTCTTTGGAACCGTGCCTTCCGTAGCGAAGCTGAGAAGCAAAAGGATGCGGCAAGACAAGAGCTAAATATACAAAAGAGCTGCAGAGTCCACCTATTCCAGTTCACCTGGCTGCAGTCCCCTCCCCCCCACACACATCCCTACACAGACGCCACGTCCTTTAACTAGCCAACTGAGGATACCATACTTTCTGTATACCATAATATTGCAAGACTCTTGTTGAAAAAGCAGGTTCTAAATCTACATCAACTCTCTGAATTAGGTCCAAAGGTTGCCAGAAAAACATTTCTGAAATTCTTCAGCATGACTGCCAAGACTTCTGGATTCAACACTGGGCAGAGATGCAAGAGAGAGAACCAAAATTGTTGGATATCAGCCAGCACCACACCTACAAATGCCCAACCCGTCACGAGTTCCACCAGCCTGTTGACTGTGGCTATGATTCCGCTTTCCTAAAGCATGATCCACGGTGGCCATCCACAATCGTCCCCAAACCTCTGTCAGGAAGGAGCAACGCAATGCAAGGACTGTATACATCATAGGCTAACTAACACACGAAGGGATTCGGGCTTCTTCGTTTTGTTTTGACGTCTCCCTTCAGAAAAAGATGCTGGAGCATTGCACCTCCTTCTGTGTACACAGCCTTCCCCTCCTCTTCCCATGGTCATGCCAGCCAGTACATTAAAGACGAGAATGTAGCCAGGGCCTCTTGTGTATTAACTTCAAAAGTAAGGGGACTTCCAAGATCATGGCACATGGGCAGAGGGCTCTGCGGTCCAGTATTAGTGCTGAGAAAGAGTATGGAAAAGTTATGACTATGGTTTCCCTCTTGTAGGTTTCGAAGAGGCAGGGTAGCCACCATGAAAAAACTAGGATGTTACGCTGAGTAAGCTCATGCCTTAGTCCAGCAGAACTCTTCTTCGGTGAGCCCTGTGCTTTGATACACAGCCCCAGCCTCTCCCGTCCACCAACCCAGCTTTCAGGGGCCAGGGTGGGAGGTAGCTTTTGCCAGAACTGCAACGCACAAAGAAGAGGTTTTAAAAGAAATATCACCATATGTATTGATTGAATCATAACCTGCCTTTCTTCCAAGAAAAACAACACTCCAGGCAGCTTACGACCATAAATAAGAACTAAAGCAGTAATAAAAGGATTGCATTGCAACACAACTCGACACACAACAAAATACAAACAGCACCCAAGAAAGCTGCTTATGAGTCAAAGGCCTACTGGAATAAAAAGGTGTTTCCCCATTGAGGGAAAGACAGCAGAGAGGGGGCAGAGGGGACCCATTTTCCATGACACCAATCAGAGGACCCTGCGGTTGTTCTCACAGCTAAAAACCAAATTTGCACATGCCAGCATATCTAGTTTTGACCCTCCACCTGCTTCCTCAGCAATATTTCTATTTGCTGAAACCACAACAATTTCTGGATTCTTTCCTAGACAATTACTAGGAGACACAGTCTCAACTTTCCTTAAGCAAGGATTGCGAGGCATCACTTGAACATCACGAGAGTTAAATGCTGAGCTTTCAGTTCAAAAACAAGCAAAAAAGGCAGTTGTGGTTGCAGGGAGAGATGACCAATCAATGCACATTAGCCATTCCAGTCAAGCATTAGATCTTCTCTGCTTGAAATGGGAGGTGTTTTGAGCCACTTGCTTGTCCGCCTTGAAATTCAACCAGAGATTATTGTGTCCTTGTTTCAGCTTCTCACTTCCAACTTCTCCTTTTGCAAAGGCAACAAAATGTTATTGGAGAGATTCCAACTAAGGCGGCAAAAGGTGAAGGACCCAACTGATGCAAGGACCTGACATTTCAAAAACCTCCGATATTCTTACTGTCTCCATCACACCCCAGAGTTCCTCTTCCAGCTGCACTACTAATTTCAACTGTTGCTTTTGTGCAATTGAAGAAGGGCAAAAGATGGTCAAATAACCGGAGAGAGGGAAGCTGCTCCTTATGCAATAAGGGTTAGGGAAGAAGGCACACACAGGACAGCTCTTTGGACATGGAAAACTGCTATAAACGTTCACGCCATCAGTACACAAGCACACACCTATTTTCCTGCCCAAAGTCCACCAGCCCCACCAGGCGCTGTGCCCAGACTCACCATGTACAGCAGGAAAGGAAAGATGAGCAGGAAGATCCAGGTATACAGATGGAAGCAGTTGGAGAAGGTGCTCTGGTGAGGGTCAAAGAACCAGCCGCCGGTCAGAGATGCCCAGACGCCCTGGCGCAGGATCTGCAGGACTTGAGACCCCATCTCCACGGTGGGGCTTCCTCTTCCTCCTCCTCCTCCTCCTCCGCCGCCTCAGGGAACACCACAGCCCAGCTGGCACTCACAGATTCCTTCATCAAGGCAGCTTGAGGCCCATGATCCACTGGGGAGGGGGGAACTGCAGGGCCCTCTTCTTCCTTTGGCTGTCACTCCCCACACGCCCTTTTTTCACCGAGAGGGGGCAATGGGGGGCTGATTCACCACGGGGCCTTGCTCCCCATTCGGGGCAGGCGTGTGAGGCCAGGCTCCTTGCTCGTTCTCCAGCTGTCTCCCTCCCTCCCTCCCTCCCGCCGCTCACGCCATGTCCACTGCCAAAAATAAGGGGCGGGGGTCCTGGGCACGCAGCTGGGGGGACGAGGGCTGCGGCAGGGCCCTCGCAAAGCAGGGGGCGCCCGCAAGGGGGGCAGCGGCGCCCCGAAGGCTCTCCCCGGGAGGAGGACAAGCCCGGGGGGGCCTGCGCCGGGGCAGCCCAGGGAGCCGCTCGCGGGTGCAGGCTCAGGCGGGGCCGGCGCCCCGGACCGCTGGGGTGCCTCGGGCAGTCGGGGGCGCGCAAACCCGGGAGCGAGCAGCCCCCTCCGAGGCCCGCGGGGCCAAGTCCGGTTCACTTCCGGGTTCAAGCTTCGCCCCGGCCTGGCCCGGGAGCAGCGACGAGCGCCGGGTGGTTCAACCTCATCGGGGACTGGAGAGGCCGGAAGAAGAGCCCGAGCAGCAGCAGGAGCAACTCCCGCACGGCGCATGCGCCGCCCTCTCCCGTTCCCCTGCCAGACCGGAAGCCGGGGTCGAAGGTCAGCGGAGGCAGCCGCTCTGAGTGCGAACGCAGAGATACGAAAGGTGTAGAGAGAGACATCAGGCCCCAATTTCCGGCATCATTTCAAGTCGTTTTTCAAATGCAAGATCCCGAATGAAGAGGCACCCGGAGAGCTTTCTGGTCTCTTTAGAAGAGGCGCCTTCTCTGCACAAGCCAATGCAGCATAACCTTCTGCATCGCACTCAGTGCTGAAATTGGCTCCATGGGGAGCGAAGCCAATCGCACTCGTTTTGCTGCCGCCGCCGCCAGCCCGTGTCCACAGTCCTGGGCTGGATGCACTCAGGCTCTGACTTGGCAGGACCCCCAAGGCTATCACGAGCCTGCCTTCCCACCTCTGGCTGCAAAACTCTCTCTCGACACAGCTCAAGAACGGCACTTCCAAGAAAGTCCACATTGCAGGCAACACTGGACCATGTCGACATAAATCACATTCAGTTCAGTGAGACTTGTTCCCCCTGCAGCCTCAGTTCCATGAGAAGCAACACTGGACTTACATGGCAGCTCACATGTGACTTTTCCTGCCTGATCCTCACCGCATGGGTCGTGGCAGTGGCCAACACCACCAGGCTGGTGTGATCTACACTCAGTCACCCCTCAGTCTCCAACCTGCAACACCAGCACGATTTGCAAAATGTACATTACAAGGTTGCCAACCGCTCTCTTAGCCAGCTCACCCTGCACTCCTCAATACTCAGAGATAAAAGTATTATTTATTTTATTTATTTATTTAAAACATTTCTATGCCGCCCCATTCGCCGAAGCCTTGGGGCGGCTCACAACATAAATTTAAATATAATACATTAAAATTTTAAAACAAAGATAAAAATAGCGGCCTGTGCTTGCGCTAGCATGGGCATTACCACCCATGGCTTTTTTCCAATGTGAACCTAGAAGGGACCTATATATGAACGATCATCTGCTTCTCTCCTGTTATATCTCTCGGGGAAGGCCAGCAGAAGCTCCCCTCTACACTAGCGCCGCTTACGCATTGATCGGCTTCTATGCGCATGCGCACCTCTGGAGCACAGTCGGGACTTATCACTTTGCGCATGCTCCTTAACGCTTGCCCGAAGCGTTGGGCAAAGAAAGGGCGGACATTCCCCCGATGGGGGAACTCTGTGCTCCAAGGCGCATGCGCGCATTTCCGGGTTTTTGTAGCCTCGGATCCTCCTTTCCATTGGTCCTCTCGTGCTGAGAGACTGCCCAATCTCCTTTCTTATTGGGCAGCTCATTGAGAAGCAGGCCCGTCTCCCACTGAGGAATGCATTTCAGTTCCAGTTCCAAAGTGGGAGGGAACAGAGACAGAAAACTGGACATATGCACTGGCTTTCACTAATAGTCTTATTAATATCATAGTTACTCTTACAGATTGGGGCTTGTTTGAGTTGGACTGTTAGTATTTGCTGCTGTTGCTGTTGCGCCCGACTCTTTGTGGCCCCATGGGCCCCCGCACGCCAAGGCCTGCTGTCCCCCACCGTCTTGTGGACTTCACCCAAATTCATGTCCATCGCATCAATGACCCCATCCAGCCACCTCATCCTCTGCCGTCTCCTCCTCCTTTTGCCATCAGTTGTTCCCAGCATCAGGAGCTTTTCCAATGAGTCTTCCCCTGTCATTATATGGCCAAAATATTTGAGCTTCACCTTCAGTATCTGGCCTTCTAGAGAGCAGTCAGGGTTGATCTCCTCTAGGACTGATCGGTTGATCGCCTTGCGGTCCAAGGGACTCGCAGGACCTCCTCCAGCACCGCAGTTCAAAGGCCTCAATCCTTTGGCGCTCAGCCTTCCTTATGGTCCAGCTCTCACAGCCATACATTGCAACTGGGAAAACCATAGCCTTGACTATACGCACTTTTGTCGGCAGGGTGATGTCTCTGCTTTTTAGTATGTTGTCTAGATTGGCCAAAGCTTTCCTCCCAAGAAGCAGACATCTTTCAATTTCATCATTATTAGCAATATCTGAACATTGTCATTCTGATATTATAATTAATATGCATGTATCTGCTTAATTATATCCATGTAATTTTCCCCAGATGTCCATAGCCTTCTGCCTCTCTGCTTTATCCTCATAACAACCCTGTGAGGTAGCCTAAGGCTGAGAGTCAGTGATTGGCCCAAATTCACCCAGCAAGCTTCAAGGCTGAGTGAGGACTATAACCTTGGACCTCCCAAGTCCCACTCTGACACTCTACTCACAATATCACACTGGCTTTCATGGTAGTATCAGATGACAGTGAGATTTTGGGAATCAAATGGAGGGCTTTGCTGAACAGAGGGTCAAGGAACTTCTGAGGGCATCCCAAATACCAGCTCTCATTGCTTCCTCTTTATTCATCACCTTTAAGTTCAATGTTAATCACTTGCCACATTTACTCACATAATAGGAGTAAGTCCCATTAAATATAGTTGAAGTTGCCTCTTCAAAAGAACTTATAACAATGTGTCTTTATAACAACCCTGTTAAATAGACCGGCATTATCATCTCTTCTTCCTGCAATAAAGGGAACGGGAAAGAGAAAGGCTCATGCATATGCAATGGGTAGCAAATTGCAGGTTAATTAATTTCCACAGCACCTGTCGGACGCACCACCACCATTCTGAATATGATTTTCAGAACCAGGGTGGTGTAGCGGTTAAGACTCAGGGCTGGGACTCAGGTGATCCTGGTTCTAGTCCCCAGTCAGCCATGGGGCCAACTGGGTGACTTTGGGCCAGCCACAGACTCTCAGTCTGACCTACCTCACAGGGCTGTTGTTGTGGGGATAAGATTGAGAGCAGCAGGAGAATGATGAGTTCTTCAAAAAAGAAAAAAAATCATATGATTCTCATAAATACATAATTTTTCTGTGACCGTTTTTCCATGGTGTGAATTAATTGTGCGTTTTTTTAAAAACACACAGTCAACCTACGGATCGGTCCTCTCCCCAGAATTTCTGCAAGGGCAGCAATCCCATCAGAAGGACTAGAATTACGCACCTCGACCCAAGGTCACGGGTTCAAGTCCCACACTGCAGCGCCCCATAATTCCCCCCGAAACAAGCAGACGCGACGTGCTGAGCCACAAGGGATGCAGATGGGAACCGATGCGGGTGCTGGATACCTCGGGGACCCACAAGTCGGCTCCTTTTCCATCTCTTCTTCTCCCGCACCGGCTTGTTCTAGCTGTCTTTTTTTCTCATCCTCCCAAGCAGCTGAGGGAGACAGGATTCCAGCACGGGCCAGAGCTTGCTAGGGGTTTTATTTATTCAGGGTATTTCTAGGCTTGCGAACGGATGGCTGGCAGAACCTTTTGTGAAATTAGCCAAGATCTGCAATCGACAAAAATTAACAGTATTTCAACATTATTTGGAAACCAATCTAACGGTAGGAAAATGTATATTATTATTATTAGGATCTGCGATGGACCCTGCGTTTTTATCCTGCCTGGTCAGGTCAGATCTGGGGAGCTTCGTGTCCCCTCTGGGCCTGGGTGAGGGGGCTCGGCGGAGCCCCGCTGCACCCACCTCACAGGGTTGTCGTGCAGGTCCAAGGAAGAGGAAGCGCTCGCGGCGCCGCCCAGAGCCCCGCGCTGCGGCGGACGCGGGGCACAGATGGAGCGGGTCTCTGGGCGCCCGTGGACAAGGCGCCCGCGCGCAGCAAGGATCGGGGCGGCGCGGGGCTGGCGGCCCCCGGGCCCCGCGCGGAGAGCCCGTCCCGTCCCGGCCCGTCCCAGGGCGGCGCGCCTCCCCTTTGTCCCACCCAGGCACGAGATGCGCTGGCGCGGGCGGGCAGGGCGCGGGGCCCGCCTCCCCCGGGGCCGGCCGAGGCATTCCGGGCCCTCCCCTGCCCTGCCTTCCCCGCCTCTGCCCGTCCGGCACTTCTGCCTGCGACTCGAGCAGAGCCGCAGCGCCGCCCGGGACGCGCCGCCGCCGCCGCTGCGCCCTCCTCGACGGCGCCGGGTGGGCGCTCGCCGCGCGCCCCTGGGCGCTCCGCCCGCGCGCGATCCAGCCCGCGACGGCGGCCCGAGCGCGGCCAGGGCGCCCCTCGGCGGTCGCCGGCTCGCCCCGGCCGGAAAACTTCGAGGGGAGGGACGCGGCTGGACGAGGAAGCCGCGCGTAAAGGCGCAGGATCCGCTGGAGGCGGGCCAGGAGGAGCTGCGGCGGCGGCGGCCGCGCTCGGGGGCAGGACACGATCCCGGCGCACGAGCCGCGCTCCCCTCCCGCCCACGGGGCCGCGCGGGTGGAGGGGCAGCCCGGCCCCGCCGCCCGCATACGGGGAGATAAGGAGCGCCCAGCCTGGTTTTGCCCGGCCGAGGCCGGACGGGGAGGCGAGGGTGATGGAGCCCCCGACGCCCTGGAGAGGGGGCTGACCGCGAAGGGAGGGTCCGCTTCCGCCATGGGAGGGGGCCTGGGCAGATAGGCGCCCCCATCCCCCTCTGGGCCCGTGGATGGTCCCCGTCCCGTCGGAAGGAAGTCCAAGTCTCCCGGAAGGCCGTGTTGGCGAGCTGGACGTGGCGGGTCCAAGACCCATGAGGCCCGGAGGACAGCATGGAGCCGCTGAAAAGCATGTTCCGGAAGGCCCCGCTGGGGCCCTGGGGGCCCGGCTCACGGGGTGGCCGCCCCCCCGCCTATGCCAACCCCGTCTGGACGGCGCTCTTCGACTACGAGGCGGCCAGCAGCGACGAGCTGACACTGCACAAGGGCGACCTGGTGGAGGTGCTGTCCTCGGACGCGGCCATCTCTGGGGACGAGGGCTGGTGGGCCGGCAAGGTGAACGACCAGGTGGGCATCTTCCCCTCCAACTACGTCTCGCCCAAGACGGCGGCCTTCCCGGGGCCTGGGGACCCGCCCGAGGCCGACTTCCGCGACCTGACGCTGGAGGAAGTGATCGGGGTGGGGGGCTTCGGCAAGGTGTACCGGGGCAGCTGGCGGGGGCAGCTGGTGGCGGTCAAGGCCGCGCGGCAAGACCCCGATGAAGACATCAGCACCACGGCCGAGCGGGTGCGGCAGGAGGCCCGGCTCTTCGCCATGCTGCGGCACCCCAACATCATCGCCCTCAAGGCCGTCTGCCTCCGGGAGCCCAACCTCTGCCTGGTGATGGAGTACGCAGCCGGGGGGCCGCTGAGCCGGATGCTGGCCGGGCGCCGGATCCTGCCTCACATCCTGATCAACTGGGCCGTGCAGATTGCTCAGGGGATGCAGTACCTGCACTGTGGCGCGATCGTGCCGGTGATTCACCGCGACCTGAAATCCAACAACAGTGAGTACCATGGCTGCGTTAAGACAGTTTTGGGAGAGATCATGTTAGTAACTGCTCATGGATGGAGAGCGGCATTTTCTGCGCCACTGTCTGGACCTGATGGAGGCTGGTTTGTGGCACGCACAGGTGTCAGGCGCTGGACGCAGAAACCAAAGGTGGCCGGTTCGCCCCTCCAGGCAGAGCCGGCTGGAAGACTCAAGGCCACAGGTCCAGGGAAAAAAGTTCAAATTTGAACGTGCTGATTTCCTGTGTTCTAAATCAGCAGATACACATTTGAACTTTTTTTATGCTAAAGGGACCTGACTCCTAAGGACGCCCTTATTTGTAAAAAAGGGAGCGCAACAGGGGAGAGAAATTAGTTTGATTTCTGGCAAAATTTCTGGCAGAAAGATTCAAGGGGGAATCCAAAAAGTCAACTGATCCAAGGAAATCAGGTGCACCGGAGACCAGCCAGGCTCTGCATCTTTCTTTCAGCCAGTGGACATTGCAGAATGTCTCCCAAAGATTTGGGGTTCAAAATGTCAGGGTTCCAGCTCGAACAGGCCACCCCATAACCCCACACCGGCCTCCAGGAATCCACCATGGCCATATCCCCTTTGCCTTCCACTTCATTTCATAAATTCCTATACTATCCAATAGTTAAATTCTCTAAACACTCTAATATACATGCTGCAAAGGTTCAAAATAGCCCAGTTTTAAAGCCATCCATGCGAAAGGCTTGGCTCCAGAAACAACTTTATGCTGTGCCGAACCCTGGAACCCCCCAACTACCCACCATTCGGGGGTGTCCGGCTTTTGTGCAATTATTTTCCCATCTGAAGGGTTGGAAAGCTGGTCGTGAGCACTCCCTTTCTTGCCCTTGCCTCTTGGGCCCCGCCCCTTTTGCTTTTGGCTCCACCTACCACTGGGATGCAGCCCCCAAGAGCTTCTGGGAAATGCGGTGGGGCCCACGGGTGGAAAGCGGTTCTGCACCCCTGCCTTAAAATGAGCACAAAGCAAGAGAAAAATTGAAGCAGATGCTAAGCCAGCGATCATGAACACAGCGGAAAAGTCTCAACACAAACCCCGAGGAAATACTAGTTTTAAAAATTCAGGCCACAATAAAATAGCGTTAAAGTCTCACTGCATGGCAAGCAGTGAGGAGTTCTCGTGAGGAGAATAGTTCCTCACCTGGGAGCCACAGCAGAAAAGGCCCCGCAAGCCAAGCTCCTGCTGAACAGGAGGCTGAAAAGGGCTTGTCTGGGGGGCAGGAATCTCAAGATCCCGACTTTTTGTGGGACAATGAAGGAAATATTGATAGTGTACACTGCATTCTCTGACCTTGAGCCCTGCAGACACATTGTACTGCAACTCCCATCACCCCCAGCCACCATCACGGGTTGCCCCAAAATCCCCTCTGGTGGGCCATTGGGAAACGTGGCCTTCGGCTGAAAAATGTCTCAACCGACCATGTTAAGGATTCATTTGTCAGCTTGACGCAAAACGGAAATACCTTTAAAAGGTGACTCAAAGCAACCAGGACTCCCCAGAAACGCTTGCTTTGCACTGCCTTCCAAATTTATTTCAGGTTTGGGACAGGGAATCCTGCAAGAGGGGCTTTCTTCTATCCAGTGGCTGGCTAGTATTCCTAAGAGATGGTGGCCCCCAGAAGGCCGTCTCTTCTTCCACCAAGGGACCCAGGCCAAAACTGCTAGCAGCAGCTCGCGAGGCTGTTCCTAAACTCCCCACAATGGGAGGCTACAAAAGGCAGAGTCTTTTTGGTGGTGGCCAAATCTTTGGAGTGTTTCCCCCAGGAAATCCACCTGCTGCTTTCACCATATAGATTTAGCCAAATCAAGATCTTCATCTTAGGACAGGGCATTTAATCTCTAATCTGTCTCTCCGATCGCGAACTGTTTCATAGATACATTTAATATTTGGATATTTTCTTTGTGGTACAGTTTATTTATTTTTATTGATTAAATACACTGTTATCCTGCCCCTTAGCCGAAGGCGCTGTTTTGTTCTGTTTATTTCTTTAATGACAGCAAACCTCTCCAAGGGGATCTGCCTCTGGGAGATAAATATATGAATGTATACATTCTAGCAGAGGCACGATCATTCGGGCGCATTCTCAAACGCCCCGAGGAGTCCCGGGACCGAAATTTTGTCCAGAGATTCCAAGGAGCGGAAGCAGAGCCTTCCTTTAAGACCGGAGAAGCTGGGGCACTGGACTCCACAAAGAGAGGGTGTCTCTGTGCATATGCAAAGTGCAGTTTCTTTGCCCTGGGTAAATGCAGTTTCTGTCTCGTTCGCGGGAGAGGGCAGCTTCTAAGGTGGGGCCGGGCACACGTGCCAGCGTGAAGAGTTAAGCACCCTCTGCCTCCTCCGCTCCCGGAGTTTGCCACCCGCTTTCGGAGTTTGCCACCCGCTTGCGAGCCCTGCGTGACCTCGGTGACCCGGAGCCGGGAGGAAGTGACGCTCGCTGGCTCGCTCTGAAACCGAGTCTACGTGCGATTTCCTCTTGCGCGGGCGAGAGAGCTGTTTTTCTTTCCATGCAAACAAGAGCTTGGGGATCCGAGTTCTTCCTCTTGCCAGGCTGTTCCAGTTCTTGATGCTGGGAGGGGACCGGGCCAAAATACTGGCCAGGGGGTATTTTGGAGCAAACCTGGGACGCCTGTACCTGCTGTTGCAAACTCTTTGCAGTCAGAGCCCCCTGTCCCAGAGAGGTCAATGGGCAGAGTCCCTCCTGCGGTAACAGAAAGGCCTTCTGCACATGCGCAGAGGTCCTGAGGTCCCTCTTTCTCACAATGCCAGAGCCCAGTGGGGTCATCCCAGTGAGCTGATTGGGAGGAGATTTAGGAACAAAAGAAAGACTTTGGGTAGCGACTGTGGCCACAAGCGCTTTCGAAAGGGCTTTAGCGGAAACACACACACACACACGCACGCACACACGTATGTACGTCACGCCAACCCTGTGAGGTAGGATAGGTTAAGAGACGTGACAGAAAACTGGTTCAAAGTCACCAGGCGTGCTTCATCATCGAACAGGGAGCTTTGAGTTTGCCGTGAAAGCAAAACTTATTCGGGGGTGCTTCCGAACCCTTCTCTCCTTCCCTTGCTGTCTCTGAAAGCTTTTATGAAATCGAATTTGGCCCTTGCATGGAAAGAATTCCCTTGTTCCTGGTTTAACTAGTCAATACATCACTGGATCAGACCTAAACTGGGATCCAGAAATGAGATGGATAAGTTCTTACTTAGAATTTCCCTCCACTTATTTGAGGGTTTAGCCCCCAAAGGCTTGTTCCCTGCCCATGCTCAGCAAGGGTGGAAGCGACGGAATAATCACAAGAGATATTTCTGAGCGCGCGCAGAGTGCTTTTTCTTTTGTGCTAAGTGGCTTTAGCCACCCCAGGGTGAACATCTGGGACTCAGGCAGAAAGAGAACCAGTATGTTCGAAGGCAGCTGAGATGTTTTTGAAGCCGGATGGAGGTGGCTTGCAAAAATATTTCTCTTCCCATGGTATGTGCACACACAAATTTTGTCTCACTGATCAAACAGGTTTTGCGAGATCTGGAGTAGGAAGGGTGAACTCGGCAGCTACTTCTTGGTGTAGCACTCAGAAAAGAAAGGCCCAGTTTCCACACCCCAGAAGCAATTTGAGGCCGACTGATTCACAACGATTTGTGAAAACAGATCGCTGATGTGGGGGTCTGAACACGACGTGTGAACACAGATGCTGGGTTGTCTTGACCCTAAATAACCGATGATCTGGATCCACATGTCACACACACAGGAACCAGAAGTGGCTTGCTTTCTTGCTGCTGCGTGTGAACCAGGGCCGTTAGCTCTTGAACCAAAAGCTCCTCCGATTCGGCAGGAGATGAAGGAGAAGTGCAGAACTAAAAGAGAGGGTGACGTTTTTCTCCCATAATTCTAGACCCGAGATGGGATCATCCCAAAAGGCTGATGGGTGTGAAATTCAGGGAACAGTCAAGGAAAATTATTATTATTATTATTATTATTATTATTATTATTATTATAACATTTCTATGCTGCCCCTTGCCGAAGCCTCAGGGCCGCTTACAACACAAAAAATCTTCACACAGCCCCTGGTTAAGCGCTCGAATTCACTTCCACGGGGGTTGTGATGGCTTTGAAAGGGAGTTGGACAAATTCCTGGAGGAGGCGGCTAGCCATAGCCGCTAGTCCTCATGGCTGGTGAACGTGGGCAGAAGGCCGCCGTTCGTGCCTTGCCTTGCTCGTGTGTTTTCCATGCGCAGCCGTTCGGCCACCATCGGAAGGCCCAGCCGGACTCGATGCACCCTAGTCTGGTCCAGTTCTTTTGGTCTTAATGTGCCAACTTTTGGGACGAATGCAACTGGGAGTCGCAGATAAACATTCCCAAACAGGAAGGAAGGATTTGGTTATTTACTTCTGGATAAAATGCCTGCATCTGACGATCTCAGGGCGGTGCACACAAAGCAGAAATGCCCATTCTCCCACTCAGCAAGACAGAGAGATGTCCAGATATGTACAGAGCCCCGATCCCCGTTTTGGCAGCGCCCTTCTACCGTAGAAATGCAGAACGACAAACATTCAGAAGAGCAGGAGCTCTGGGAAGCGATCGAACTTCCATCTGAGAGCCAGGGTGGTCTCGTCGCTCGACAGGGACCCGAGTTCCAGTCCCCGCTCGCCATGAGTCACAGCCTCTCGGCCTAACCCACTCACAGGGTTGTTGTGAAGAGAAAACGGAGAGGCAGAAGGTCATGAAGGTTGCGAGAGGAAGAAAAGCGAAGGCCGGGGTGGCGGCGTGGTTAGAGTCGACGTCGGAGGTCCAGGTTCCACATCTCACTCTCAGCCTCACCTACCCCACAGGGTTGTTGCGTTGAGGCTGAAATGGAGCGGAAGACCACCACATTAGCATCCTCGGTTTCTTTGCAAGACGGACGGAGGGGGTATAAATGCACTATAACGGTACGAGTTGGAAGGCGGGCTTGGTGGAAGTTGATTTGACGGT